AAATCTAGGCTTTTTCTAGCACGTACCTCAAAAGTCTTCCAATTATACCCGTCACCCAGCTCCAAAACCACTTCCATATTTTTATGTATTTTTTACATCAGCACCCTACGTCGTGGTACCACAATCTGTATTAGTCAGGGTTCTCCAGTGAAACAGAACCATTAGGAGATTATATATATTTATATTTATATTTATATATACATACACTTTCTACTAAGGAATTATAATATGTGATTATGGAGGTTGACAAATCCCAAGATCTTCAGTGGAGTTGCAGGAGAGCCAATGGTGTAGTTCTAGTCCAAATCCAAAGGCCTGAAAACCGGGAGAGCCAATGGTGGTGTTCCAATCTGAAGGCTTGCAGACTTAAGACCCAGAAGAGCCAGTGCTTTAGTTTGAGTCAGAAGGCAGGAAAAAGATGATGTTTCAGTTCCATGGCAGTCAGGCGAGAAAAATTCTCTCTTAATCCAGAGAGGGTAAGCCTTCTTGTCCTAGTTAGGCCTTCAATTGATTGGATGAGGCCATCCACATTAGAGAGGGCAGTCTGTTTTACCCCCTCTCCCAATCCAAATGTTAATTTCATCCAAAACACCCTCCAAGAAACACACAGAATAATGTCTGACCAAATATCTGGGTACCTGTTGGCCAAACTGATACATAAAAGTAACCATCACAATTATTATCTGTCCTATGTATTATAGCCATTCTAGTGGGTGTGAAATATCTTACTGTGTTTTTGTTTGTCTGTTTGTTTGCATTTCCTGAATGGCTAATGGTGTTGAGCACATTTTCATGTGATTTTTACCCATTTGTATATCTTCTTTGGTGAAAGATCAGTTCATATCTGTTGCCCATTTAAAAAATTGCATTGTTTGTCTTCTTATTGAGCCTAATGTGTGTTTTTAAAATTAAACAAAACAACCCAACAAACAATCAAAACAGTTCACCAATTTTATTGACCCTAATGTGTTTTGGGATTTATTTTTTCTTGTGAGTTCCTGTGTGGGAACTTTGAGGGCCAGGTGGAGGGTGTATTTCTCCTGGGAGGATCTGTGTTTACCTCTGCCTGGAGCCCAGAGGTACTATAGATGTAGGTCCAATTTCACTTAAATCTTCCCTGTAGTTTCTAGGCCAAACAGGTAATGTCATTTTCTGCCATTCGTCTTACTGTGGCTCTGGTGACTTTATTTTCTCAACAACAATAACAACACTGGCAAGGCCAAGTGGACAGAATTTGCTGTTATGAAAATATCATCTTATATCATCTGTAATTTAATTTTAAATACTTTAAACAGTACAATATGTGTGTGCTCTTTTATTTTTTTATTTTTTATTTTTTTCTTTTTTGCGATATGTGGGCCTCTCACTGTCGTGGCCTTTCCCGTTGCCGGACGCGCAAGCTCAGCGCCCATGGCTCACGGGCCCAGCCGCTCCGCGGCACGTGGGATCCTCCCGGACCGGGGCACGAACCCGTATCCCCTGCATTGGCAGGCGGACTCTCAACCACTGCGCCACCAGGGAGGCCCGTGTGTGCTCTTTTAAATCAATATCCTAGGTATGGCTAATTAACAACTGAAGTGTTGGGGAATGTAAACTCCAGGAGAGGTTGATTAGCTTTTGAAAGCTTCTAAGCAGATGTGCACTCTTTAGAGAGCTTCAACTATCTTTATTTCCAGTCAACACTGAGACTATGTGGATTTTCCTTTGGTGAAATAACTAGTATTCATTATGTGTGGGTTGGCTAGAAATATTGTACAGGGCTATATCTTGTCTACTCTTTTTTTTTTTGGTATGCGGGCCTCTCACTGTTGTGGCCTCTCCCATTGCGGAGCACAGGCTCTGGACGCGCAGGCTCAGCGGCCATAGCTCACGGGCCCAGCCGCTCCGTGGCATGTGGGATCTTCCCAGACCGGGTCACGAACCTGTGTCCCCTGCATCGGCAGGTGGACTCTCAATCACTGCGCCACCAGGGAAGCCCCATGTATAACTATTTTTGAGTGCACTTGCTACTAAATGTTGGCATGAACAATAGAATTCAGTATACATGTTATTATAACATAACATTGTAAAGTAGGAAGGCTGTGAGGTAGAACTCACATATAGTGTTAAACAAATAACATCTACAAAGAGGGAAGGGGTATCCCACCAATTAGATTCCCGCTTTGGAAATTCTCCTGCTCCAATAATTTTCAAGCTATTCTGTTTTGGGAAGGAGAGGAGAGTCCTTGAATGTATGGATTAAAACGAGGTATGAGATATCTGAGGCTTGGAAAAGCTGTGTCTAGCCCTATTCCATGTAGAGTATTTACATGTCTCTACAACATCAGCCAAGGTCTCTGGAAGCTTGACCCCAGGCACCTCAGAAAACTCGGGGTTGGAGAGGGGTGCAGTTATTTGCCAAAATGATTGGAGAGGGAGAGAAATCTTTATTTATTTGGAAATTATACCGTTGCTGCAGAGTTAACCACCAATGCTTTTACATAGTTTGAAGAAAGCTCTTCTTGGCTCACAGATTCAGGTATTAATAAATCATAATAGGCAACATTTATTGCAGGCAATCTTCTCCTTGTGCCAGGTATTTTACACGCATCATCTCATTAACGTATGTACATTTCCATACAATTCTATGAATGGATGATTTTATTCCAGTTTTATATATAAGTACAGTGAGGCTTAGAGATCACATCATTAGGTGTTTGAATGTCAACTCAAGCTCTTTCCTATTCATCACCCACATCCTTATATCCTCTAACTGGGAAGGATGGGGCAAGTCAATCTCTACATGAGCGTGTAAGCTAACTGTTTACAGGAGTTGCCAACGGCATGGGAGTCAGGATCTTAAAAACATAACACATTTTAACGCTTAGGTTCACTCCTAACTTCTGGACCCCGACTTGGAGCACCCCTTTCGGATGAACCTAGTGCTATAGCGAGCGAAGCTGCTGGAACGGGAGAGGGAGGCACTCTTTGCAGAGGAGCCAATGAGACCGCTGGTTCTTGTGAGTGGCACTTCGTTTGGCCAATGGGTTCAGCCCCGGAGGCACCGCGAGAAGACGGGAACTTGGGGTTTGGAGCATGTGGGCCTGTGGCGCTGCGCGAGCGTTGAGCGCAGGGTTCGCTTGAGGACTCTCTGAGCTGCGCGAGTGCTCGAACGGTGGTGAGAGGAGGGGACGCAGGTGTGGAAGGCCGGGGAGGCCAAGGTCGCTCTGCTACAGGCCAGGTGCGCTTTCGCTCAAGCTCTTGCTGGTGAACGGGGGCCCCTCCGGCCCACTCGGACCCTCCCCTGTCCTCTCACCCGTCCTCTCACCCCATATCCCTGGGGAGCCGCGAGGGCCTGTGGGCCCCTGGGTGGAGCCTGGGCCGGGGGCGGGGGCTGGGAGTTGTTATTTGAGGCTGGGGGTGGGTGGGGGGGGAGGAGGAACGCAGGACCTGGGAGGGGTGGGAAGGTGGTGCCTGGGGAGGGAGGGGACTCATGGGGAGAGGGGTTTGGGCGGGCTTGAGTGTTACTCGCACACAAGGTGTGGGCAGGACCCCCAGGGGAGTTTTGGTTTGGGGAATGATGCTTTCTCAAGGGTGGAAGGGATGTAGTATTTGCCTTCAGGAACCTCTTTTCTGGTTAGGCCGAGTCATATGCCCCAGCCCGGAGCTCGCACTTGGAGGGGTGGGGAACGTAGGCCTCGCCGGTCCTGGGACCTGCCTGTCCTTGGACTCTCCCCGCTTGTACCTTATAGTCAGCCAGCCACCTGCTAACTAATCAAAGGAGAAAATCCACATTAAGGGAGGGCCTGAATCTGTAGAAGTGATGGTGGAGGTGAGGGAGGGGTGGAGAAAGAAGAGGATTCCAGAAGTCCTGTAATTGGTAGGTGTTATAGTGCCTCTCAGTGTGTACCAGTTAGGCTACTGATTGTTCTGGTTTCTTCCAGTGGTGGTGAGAAGGTGTGAGTAAAGAGGCCAAGCTAACTGAAAAGGAGTTTAAACCATTAGAGGGGAGAACTGTAGTAGCCTTTGAGTAAGGGAGGCATATCCTCCCATTTTAGTGTGAAAGATAATAATTTATTTAAAAAATTTTTGCCAGATCCTGAACTGCCTTCACCTATAGTTGACTTAGGAATTGTATGTCAGTCTTTTCTTTATATGCATGGCCTGATTTCTCTGTAGCTAATACTTAAGACACGTTTGCAGAAGTTAAGAAGAGGCTTACTTGTTGGTTACAAAAGATTCTTCAGGGATCAAGGGTGAGTCCAGACAATGAAGGGAGCCCCTGAAAGAAGGAGTCCTGAAGTCTACAGATTATAAAGTGATTTTGAAGAAGCTTAGTGAGTCTGAGACTTGAGGGGCGAGAAGAGCATCATCCCTGGTTACCTTGGGGGGTGGAGGGAGGTGTTAAATGTCACCTGTGAGACTCAGCAGGAATCATAGGCTCAAACCAGAAAGGGTCTGTACCCTGGAGACCTCAGTTCTGGTAGAGTTTGAAAGAAGAGTTTTATAGAAAGGAATTGGATAAAGATTCAGAGAAGCAGCTAAGGAACCAAGGAGGAGATGGAAAAGTTTAATGTGAAAATAGACTGGAAAAATATTAGGACTCTGGTAGAAGAAAGAGTGACCCAAAATGAAGCAAAACTCATAAATGTTTATGGACAAAAAAATTTTATGATATGGCTATGTTAACTATAAACTTATAAAGCAAAATCATGCCCATACATAAAAAGCGTTTCCGTCTACAACTGGTAGTTAACTTACAGGACTGAGTTCTCTAAGAGGCCGTTTGGGTAGAAAATATAAGTAAATTCAAGGAGGGCTTGGCCTTTAAGAGATTGCTGATGGAGAGTGTTTAGAATATTCTGTGCTAAACAGAAGCTTTTGAAGTGAACATAATATAGGAGGCTGGTTGTATCACTGGTCTGATCCAAAGTAGCTATTTTTTTTTTCTTACTGCTTTGTGAGTCTGTCTTGAAGGAAAAGGAAAACAATTGGGAATCATCTAAATTATAAAATGATGGCAGATAATTAACCAGAACAGATTGACACCTGTGTCCTCTGCAGCCTTGCAATGGATCCTGTCCGACCACCCTTCAGGGGCCCGTCTCCTGTGCACCCATCTCAGTCTGTTCGGATGCCGGGCCCTTGGCAACAGGCTCCAAAACCTTTGGACCCAGCTCTGGGCAGGGCAGGACCTGCAGGCAGAGGCCATGTATTTGAAAAGCGAGAGGAGCCAGGCCCACAGAGTGGGCCAGTGCAAAAGGTAAGACCGTGTCTGCATACGTAGTAGCAGCACACAGCTTATCATCAGGGCAAATAAGGGATTTCAAGGTATTTAGGAAACTGGGAAGCCCTATATGAAAGCAAGGGTTTGTTTTTTTTTCCCCCTTGAACAAGTGGTTGCCTCTTGGAATATATTTCAAATTCTTGAGTTGAAAGTCTAGAAAAAGGGCCTCGTAATGAATGTTAGATGGACCTGGGTAAATGCCTTAGTTCTCTAGCTTCTATAAATATAAATATATACATACATGAATGATAGGTTTAAAGGTACAGCCTTGTTTTTTTGTGAGTGTTTAGATTTCCACTCTGGGTTTGACTCTATGGTATTAGCAGCCACTTTTGCCTCTAAGGTCATAATTGTTAAGAATGGTTCCTTTCAGAAGGCTCTTTGCCTAAATCTTAAAGAAAAAGAGGATCTTCAGCTATTGTTAGTGCTGTGTGTATACTCGCATGGACATGCATTCTTAATCTCCTAATTATATAGTAATTTTAAGAATGGTATTTGTCTATAGTTAATCTCAAAGAATAAAGAGTTAGCAAATACAGGAAGAACCTAATAGTGCAGTTATGACAATTTTAAGTAGGTTGACAATATCAGATGTAACGTTCTGTAAGAAGAAACATAATTGACAGTAATCCTGTATTTTTACTCAAATGGATTGCTTGAGTCTATATGTGGCAACTCTAATTGGTGTAACAGTAGTAAACGTCCAAGACTGCTACAGGAAAACAGTAGCAAGTTTTGTTGAGGTTGTTTAAAAAAAACCCCAAATTCTGATACCCTTAAATGATCCATTTTGGGGGAAAATTTATTAGCCAGTACACTTGTTCTCTCTTACCTTAGGTATACAGGAAGTGAACTAGAAAAATAATTCTGTTGCATTTGTTATACTGTATATCAAATCATGAACTGTAACTGTTTATGCTTGAAAACCTAATATGACATAAGTGGTTTTTTTTTTTTAACATAAATTTATTTATTTTTGGCTGCGTTGGGTCTTCGTTGCTGTGCACGGGCTTTCTCTAGTTGTGGCGAGCGAGGGCTGCTCTTTGTTGTGGTGCGTGGGCTTCTATTGTGGTGGCTTCTTTTGTTGTGGATCACAGGCTCTAGGTGTGCGGGCTTCAGTAGTTGTGGCTCGTGGGCTCTAGAGCACAGGCTCAGTAGTTGTGGCGCATGGGCTTAGTTGCTCCACGGTATGTGGGATCTTCCCGGACCAGGGATCGAACCTGTGTCCCCTGCATTGGCAGGCGGATTCTTAACCACTGTGCCACCAGGGAAGTCCGACAGAAGTGTTTTTTTTTAAGACCATAAGGATTTAAACAATTTTTATAAGGTATTTTTATTCTTGTAACATTTATAGAATTTGAAGTGGATGATTTTTATTATTTAATAGGACTTGAAGAAAACCAACAGTGTTTCTAGGGTTTTAAACTACATCTTAGAATAACTTTATTGTTTGACTTTCTGTAGGAATCTGTGGGTTTGGTCTCAATGTTCCGAGGACTGGGCCTTGAAACAGTGTCCCGGACCCCTGTGGAACAGGAAATGCCTCCTTTAGGTATGTGGAAAACTAACTTGAGAAAACGTGGTGTTATATATGATTGCTTTGTTCTTAAATTCACACAGTTTATCTTCAGAAAAATTACTGTACTTTATAAAATGTTCAGCTCATGGTTACAGCTGGGGTTTGACCCTTCCGTTTAGGTAGAGGCATTTTAGGTCGAGGTTTGTCTACCAGTATGGCACGCAAGGACAAAGAAGAACCCCATCCCACTTTTCTGGATCCTTCAGTGTTGGCATCTGGAGATAGCAAGATGGCAGAGGCCTCCGTTGGTTGGAGTAGGTGGGTAAAGTTGCCTTCTTGGGTAGCCATCAAATTCAGATGAAATATCTGTAAGTCCACAGAGAAACTCTAAAGTGGGTTGTATTATCTCACAAAGAAACAATGTATGGTTTCATGGTAAGAATGGGTATTTTCCAAGAGTAGTCAGCAGCTACTGATGCAGTCAGTCTTTGGACGAGGGTAAAAGCAGTCGAAGCACAGTTCACCACGCTGTTTGCCCTCTTAAGAATCCAGCCTGGTGGTAGTGGTTCTTTTACCCAGGTGGGTCAAACTTCCATCTCAATTTCTGCTATGGAAGTTGGCCCTGAGAGTCAATATTAATAACAGTTGATGAATAAGTCATGTTAGCATATTGGATTTGGAGAGAATCCCCATGCTTGGGTCCCTTTTGCTGACTCCTCCAGGAAGAGAATGTAGATTTGGGGGACTCATTTAGATAGGGCATAGATAGAAGCATGATTGAGAAAGTTCTGATTTGCCTCTTTTCAACATTTCAGAACGCTTGGAAGAGGGAATTTGGATGCCTTTTTATTACCGATGGGAAGAGCAGCTGGTGGTATAGGCAGAGGAGTATACAGGCCTCCCGGTGCTCTCAGCCTGAATTCTCAGGATCCTGCCCAGCTGTCGTCTCCACCACCTCTGCCCCCGGCCCCACTGCATTCTCTGGATCGCCCACCACTTGGGACTGCAGAACACAAGGAAAAGTAAGTCAGGAGTGCTGCCTTCCCTGCTTGGTGATGATGTGGAGGAGGCCTTCACATAGTATTCCAAACTCTGTTCTGTTGTGTCTAAAGTCCTCCTTGGATGGTAGGTACTGCAGGGTTGTTTTGTTTTTTGCCAGTGGGGAGAGTGACAAAGAGGTGGGGCAATTCCTGATGAGGTGAAATGGGGTTAGTGATGATAGTATGTATCTGTCTAGAGTCTACTCATGGCTTTTCATTTCCTTCCCAATTCAGACATAGATAATTCTTTGTCGAAGATAAGGAAATTATCTAGGAAATACATTGCAGCAGTTCATTTTTCTCTGTAGAACTAATTCTTATGTTCTTAGTTAGCTGGCCTAGTTATTCTAGTGACATTACTAGGACAGGTAGGGTGACCTTGCTTCTCTAATTCGAGATTGCTAAGAATTTGCCTTCTGGCTTTCAAAGCTTCTTTTGTATGTCTTGATTCTTGGTCTGTGTACCTGTAAGCAGAGTGTGAAATACTGCTTCCCCCAATCTGTCTTTCCTTTCCTTTTCTTTCTTTGTATTTTTGTGGCATGGATTATTTGTATGTTTTTGGCATATGTGGGTGATTTCGTGTTTTATTTTTATTTTCTAGAGAGCCTTTTGTGAAGCAAGGATCAAAAGGAACACCTCAGTCTTTGGGATTGAACCTTATCAAAATACAGTGTCGTAATGAAGCAGTTTATCAATATCATGTGGCTTTCAGGTATTCACAGCTTTTTTTCCCCCCTGTATTGTTCACTTCTTAGAGAGCAGTAATGAAATAGTTCCACAGGAATAACTGAATTGTTTTTGTGTATAACTCCTGATGCAGCTCCCCCTACAGTAATTCATATATTCAGATCCTTGCAATAAGTTTAAAGTTAACACTTTTTGTGTGTGTTTAGCTATATTACCAATCCACATTTTAACTTAATAGGTGCAATTTTATGCATGAGGTTAGAGGTGGATTTTCTGTAAAGTTAATGAAACTTAAGTTCAGGGCCTTTTACTTGCATAGACCCCTTCATAACCTTTTTAACTTACCTTGTATCTGTAGTTTTGTATTCCTCTTCTTAAAGAGACCCCCCCCCACACACACACAGTGGTATCAAATACACACCCCACAATACCTGGATCCTCCCTGCATGAGTGCTATACCAACATTTGATGGCTCTCCAGTGATAGTCTAGGGTTAAATTTGAGGGTGAAAAAAACAGAGAAAATAACTTTAATTTTATATCAGTAACTTTAGGATTTATCATACTTATTTAAAAGTTAAGAATTTATATTAGTCTGTGTTCTTTTTTAAAATCTCAGGAGAGCCATTAACTGAAGGTTATTAGCTGGAATTGTGAAAATAAATGAGTGTTCTGGAATATTTATGGAGAAAAAGGAAGATGGAAGACTGAATTTTTGAAGCACAGCTATTAATTGGTACAAGAAGAAGAAGTGGAATGACAGAGAGAAGAAAGGAACAGTTAGGGGAACAATACCCCGAAGACAGGGTTATAAAGCCAGAAAGACGGACCCATTTGAATGAGGGAGAGGTGGTTGACTTTGGCCACGGGGAAAGAAGTTGTTGAATTTGCTTTCAAGAGGCACCCTTGGTGATTTTCTAGTAGCTTTATTAGTGTTATGGGGAAAAAATGAGACTAAAAGAACAAAGGACAGCCTGGGCCATGAGAAATAGCCAGTGGATTGGCCACTTATTTTAAAAGTATGTAAGAGGAATGAGAAATGGAATGATAATTGCTTTAAAGGTTTCTGTGAGGTAAGAAACTGGAGGTGAACACATATGACAAGTGAAGAGAAGGAGTCAGGAAACCAGGTGAAATTGAACTAGCAAGAGGGGAAGGTGGTGGGAATGGGCCTGTTCTGGAATGTAAGGGTTGGAGATGGGTGTTAATGAGAGGGAAGAGTACTTGCTGTGGAAATGGATTGACAACTGATAATGAAACAGAAAGGAGTGTGAGACTCCTCACGGGTCTCTGCATTGACCAGGCTGTGGAGAAGACGTGGATTCTATAAATTTCGAGATTGTAGATGCGGACCTTTGAAGCCACAATGTGAAGAGGATGAGAGAATACCGAGAGGATGTATTACCGTGACTGGTCATCCTGTAGCTTCCTTGACATCATGGGGCTCTAAAAAGACAAATTTAAATATAGTATCTTGGGCATAATGCCATGTATGTGTGAATTTTTTAGAAGAAGCATTTTGGAATGTGATGTTAGCATGTGAGTGCTTAGTTTTGGCGATGACTGTATTGGATTACCGCTTGATTTTTTTGTTGATGTTATCTTTCTTCATTCATGTACTTGAACACGCTTGACCCTTTTTAGCCTTGGATTTGTTTAAACTTCGAAGTTGTAGAATGGGTTGTGTTACTGTGATCTGTTGGGACAGTCATTGTACAAAGTAGCTACTGGACTTTTTCAAAGCTGTAAGATTTGTGACAGTCAATCGATAAAAAGTTGAAATTGCTGTGAGTGAAAAATGGTTAGAGTAAAATCCTATATTTTTTTAAAATATATTTTTTAAAAGAGTGTATATTTCTATAGATGCTAGAGCAGGGATTAGCAAACTGTGGCAGGCCTGCTGGGCAAATCTGGCCCACTGCCTGTTTTTGTAATAAAGTTTTGCTGGAACATAGCCATACTTATTGGTTTACATATTGTCTACAAGGCTTTTGTGCTATGTTAGCAGAGTTGAATAGTTGTAGCAGAGACCATATGACCTGTAAAATCTTTCCATAAAAGTTTTCTGACCCTCTGGTCTAAACTCTCGAAGAATGTACACAGACATGATAAGGCAGTTGTGTTTGGGTGGTGGAATTATGGATTATTTTTATTTTCTGTGAGCCAGTATCCTTGGGTCAGAGTCCTTTTTTTTAGTCAGATGTATTTCAATATTTTAATATGACCACTAGATGGAGCAGTAGTCATAAGTGACTGCGTCTCTAACAGACCTACCACACAGCTGTAAAGTCAAACTGAAATAAAATCCTCTTTATTATTTTCTAGCCCCAATGTGGAGTGCAAAAGCATGAAGTTTGGCATGTTGAAGGACCATCAAGCTGTCACCGGAAACATCACTGCTTTCGATGGATCCATTCTCTATCTGCCTGTTAAGCTTCAACAAGTGAGACCAAATAGGAAATGCACTTTGGGGCGAAGCACGGGTGGTGGGAAATCATAGTGTCCCTGAACATTTGAGTTGTACTTTCCTATTCTGAGAGGAAAGGCAGACTTCTCCATAACAGAGAAATTGCAAACTGAGAAACTTTTACATCTGAGTTCTTTCTAGTCCCTTCTCTCTTAAGAGGAGTGGTTGGAAGCCTTTGACCTTAGTGACAAAGAATAGTTCAAGATTGCACATTCGAAGGGCTCTATTGCTAGTTCTCCATTGGGTTTCTCTTACCAAATCCTTTCATAAATCCTACTTGTCATGCTGTGATTTTGTCTAGTGTGGACAGCAAAGTAACAGTAAAGAATAAAACATGTTTAAGATATTATAGTGTTCTAGAACACAGTTGGATTAGATTAGCGCTTGGTAGTGTTGTCATTTCTCTTTACTTGCATGTGTTTATTTGTTAGGTTCTTGAGTTAAAAAGTCGAAGGAAAACTGACAGTGCCGAGATCATCATTAAGATTCAGTTGACAAAGATCCTGGAGCCCTGTTCTGACTTGTGCATTCCGTTCTACAATGTTGTTTTCCGTCGGTGAGAAACAGCTGAAGTCTTATTTTCTTTAACTTCAGTCTTGTATTTGTAACAGAGCTCTTCAGGAAGCTTGGATGGTATTAAAATACAGTGCGTATATAGATGAGTTTGGAAACATTTAATAAATAAATGGATGACATTAAGACTAACTTATTAAAAGTTATCTCAAGTGATTGTCCAGATTTGGGTATATGAAAGTAGGTTTGAAGTAGCTGGACAGAGGGGGGTGGTTTCCTTCCATTCATTCAGGAACTTTAAAAGCAAATGTTTACGGTACATATTTAATGGTGTCAGTGATGGGGCTACTTGAAGAGGTAGCATGTAAAAATTTTTGCTAGAATTTTTCCCAGTCCTTTGAATTTTTGAATACAGACAGCTCATAATTTTTTAACTTTTCTGAAGACTCCCAAATTTTCATAAAACTGTTATTCCCAAACCAGCTTTTTAAAAATGAAACATAGAACCTGATTTCTACTTAGTCAGCTGAACTGCCAGGAACAAACATAACTTCCTATGCCTGACTGATAGTCACAAATTTAGAAGTGGACTTTCTTTTTTTTTTTTTTTTTTTTTTGCGGTACGCGGGCCTCTCACTGTTATGGCCTCTCCCGTTGTGGAGCGCAGGCTCAGCGGCCATGGCTCACGGGCCCAGCCGCTCCGCGGCATGTGGGATCTTCCCGGACCAGGGCACGAACCCATGTCCCCTGCATTGGCAGGCGGACTCTCAACCACTGCGCCACCAGGGAAGCCCAGAAATGGACTTTCTTATGCTCTTTTTAGTTAATGGGGAAAAGTAATGTAAATCGAGCTTGGGAAGTCAACTTGATTTTTGGTTACCTAGTTAGTAGAAAAAGCTGCAGTCAGTTGCATGTACTGCAAGATAAATACTTTGGTAATTTTTAATTTTCTTTTGGCAAGAGTGTTCTCAGCATAAAAGCTATATTGTGCAAAGAGCATCAACATTTCTGCTCTTTTAGGCTTCCAAAGGAAAATGTAGCTAAGAGCAATTGAACTGAATTATTTTTAATTCTTCTACTAGAAAACCCATTCTTGCTCTTTATTTCAGGGTAATGAAACTTTTAGATATGAAGCTGGTGGGGAGAAACTTCTTTGACCCTACAAGTGCTATGGTACTACAGCAACACAGGTTGGTGGTATTTTCTTCTTCCTCACTTTTGAATGTTCTGGAAATAAATTTTTCATTGCAATCACCATATTAGGATTTTATGATAGTGAGTACAGTTTATGAGTTAATTGTTTTCCATAATTTAGGTTTTCAGTAAGTTCACATTGATGTTGACTTAATTTGTTTCCTGTTGCTTTCTCATTGTTATTGGGGAGGGGCAGTATCTGCTCAAAGTATTGCCTCAAATGGAGGCATGGAAATATCTGTGGTTCTTTTAGAACCCCAGCGTAAAGGCCACGTATGTCTTCAGATTGCAGATCTGGCCGGGCTATGCAGCTAGCATCCGGAGGACAGATGGAGGTCTTTTCCTGCTAGCTGATGTCTCCCATAAGGTCATTCGGAATGATTCTGTGCTGGACATCATGTGAGTGGATGGTGGCATCTACATTTAACAAACAGTTTTCTGAGAAGTTCAGTAATAGCTGGTAATAAATACAGATAAGCCATTGTTACGTTTGGGTTTTAAATTGTAGAACAGATTGAGAATGCTGAATTGATGTGCTCTTTCTGTGAGTCCTACCAGGATAAGCATCTGAATAGAGACCTGCTGCACTTAGACTGAGGAGGAATGTATGTAAGTCCCTGGTTACGAAGACTTGGTTTAATGTACACCTACCCTGAGTTCTTGTTTAAGTGTATTACTCTAGTAAATATTTACTGTAGTAAATATAGATGTGTATAATTTGTAATCATTACATGAAATCCTGTCTTATACATAAATCTGTGTGCATCTATGATTTTTTTAGGTTGTGTACCTAGAAGTGGAATTACTTAATGAAAAGGTCGAACATTTTAAAGACTTGAAATATTTACTATAATAAGATGTTTAAATATATATCGACCGATTACCCTCTAGAAAATTTACTTAGTTTATTTTCTCACCAGCTATGTATAACTACTGTGTGTTACCAAGCTTATGAATCTTTGCTTATCTGATAAATTCATTCATTCCATCAACATATATGTATAGCGCTCCAGTTTGTACCAGAGTTTTGGAACTTAATCAGTTAACAAAACAAAGATCCCTCTCCTCATTGAGTTTGCATTGTAGTCAGGTGAGGTAAATAGTAAATAATAAGCATGATAAGTAAACTGTATAGGGTACTAGAAGTGATAAGAGGTATGGAGGAAAGAAAAGATAGAACACAGGGTAGGAGAGATCAGGAGTACTAGGGGTGGGATGGAGAGGGGAGAGAGCTGTCATTTCAGTAACATGTCAAGCTCATTTGAACCAACACTTGGAACAGGTGAAGGAGTTAGCCAGGTAAATAATTGGGCTAAGGGAATTCTTGTTAGAGGAACAGCTGAGGTAAAGGCCTAAGCCAGAAGTATGCCTGGCTCTTCAAGGAGCAGCAGGGAAGCCAGGGTGGCTAGAGCAGAGCAAGTGAGGTGAGGGCAGTGGAAGGATGGAGTAGATGGAAGGAAGAGCTGAGGATATAGAGCTTTTTAAGTCTGTTGTCAAGAGTTTCGGTTTTAGTGTGAGTGAAACATAGGGCTTGTAGCCAAGGAGTGACACAATGTGACTTGAGTTGTGAAAGGATCCCTCTTGTTACTTACTGCGTGGAGAATAGACTTGGTGGGATGGGGTAGAAGTGGGAAGACCAGCCAGGAAGCTCTTGTAATAATCCAGTGGAGAAATGAGGGGGTGGCAGCAGTAAAGGTGATGAGAAGTGGCTGGCCTCTGGATATGTTCTCAAAGTAGCGTTCAGTCGATTTCCCAACTGGGTGGTGGAGTGTGAGAGAAAGAGAGAGGTTAAGGAAGACTCAGACCTTTTTGACTGAATTTGTAATTATTTATTTTGTCTCTCCTAGACTCTCTCTCCTTGATGGTGGGGACCGTCTCTCTTTCTCTCACATGGTACACCCAGACATGGTTTATTCCTAGCCTGTAGTAAGTGTTCAAGAATGTTTATTACATAAAAATAGATGTCTTTAAATTCGCTCTTTCTTTATGGTTACTGTCTTTGTTTTTCTACTTAGAAAGGTCTACTTGTTTTAATTTCCAATGTTTTAAACCTTCTGGAACTTGGTGTGATGTTAGGATCATAATGATTGTTTTGGTACGGTTACACAATTTATTGGAAAACATTTTTCTTTAGATTTAAATCACTATCAAATGCTAAAATACTTGGATTTATTTCTGAATATTTCATTTTGAACCACTGGTTAAAACCAGTGTGATACTGTTTTAATTATTGCAGTTCTATTAAGTTTTATTATTTGTCAAGGAATTCTGTTTTCAGAATTTTTATTCTGTACCCCCCCCTTACTCCTTCATGTGAAACTTTGAAAATTTAGTGAAAATAAGACAGAAAGTCAATTGGCAATTTGATTGATACTGACTAGGGAGAGTGTTCAGTGACACTGGACTGGTTGCTCTCCAGTGTAGCTGATAGTTACTGTCTGGGATTCCCCTTCACTGTGGCGAAGACTACCTTTCCCTCTCACCACAGGTATCCTGTAGTTCTATCCCATGACGACTTCTTCCTGGTTTACTCTTGTTTCTGAGCTCTTACGTGTTTGAAATCTCTTTATTTTACCTTAGTTTGATTGGGCATAAAATTTGAGATTGGAGATAATTTCCCCTTGGAATTTAAAAATCATGGTTCCATTGTTGTTTTTTTTCCTTCGGTATTATCTTTGTTCATGTTCACATATTCTTTAACAATGAGACTATTTCCTTATTTAAATTTAACTCTTTGGGTGTTCTCATAGTAACGCTCTATTTGAATACACCTTATTTCTGAATTTTTCCACTTTTTCATTCTGTAGGTGAGTAAACAGTTACCATCCTAATATCTTTTTTACCTTACTTGTACCTTTTGAGCAAGCCCAAACTTGATTTTAAGATTGCTTCATCACTTCTTTTTTTTCATATTTTAATTTTAGATTTGATATGTTAAATGCTGTGTAGGTACTACACTTCTAAAAAATTATTATGGTTAGTAATATATTTTTGTATTGGTAAGGCAAGTCCTTCCACCTTGCTCTTATACCCACTATCTTCCTTTTTCTTTTCTATAACTATTTTTCACATTTATTTTCCAGATTAATTTCAGGATATTTTTGTTGAACTCTCCAGAAAATGCCACTGCAGTTTTGCTCCATTTTCTTTTTGCTTTCAGATTTACTGTTGAAAAAATCTAAAGCCATTCTGATTTCTTTTTTGAAATTAAGTTTATTTTTTTTTGAGGTAGAGTTGATTTACAGTATTATATTAGTTTCAGATGTACAGTGAAGTGATTGAAAATTTTTATAGATTATACTCCATTTAAAATTACTATAAAATATTGACTATGTTCCCTGTGCTGTATGGTATATCCTTGTAGCTTATTTATTTTGTACATAATAGTTTGGACCCCCAGAATCCCATACCCTTATCTTGCCCTCCCCACTTCCCTCTACCCACTGGTAACCACTAGTTTGTTCTGTGAGTCTCTTTCTTTTTTGTTATATTCACTAGTCTGCTTTTTTAGATTCTACGTGTAAGTGATAAAATGCAGTATTTGTCTTTCTCTGACTTATTTCACTAAGCATAATACCCTCCAGATCCATCCATATTGTTGCAAATGGCAAAATTTCATTCTTTTTTCATGGCTAAGTAGTATTGCAGTGTGTGTATGTGTGTGTGTATGTGTATGTATGTATCTCAGTTCTTCCTTATCCATTCATTTGTTTGTGGACACTTAGGTTACTCCCATATCTTGGCTATGTAAATAATAATAATAATAATGCTGTTGTGAACAATGGTTTGCATGCATCTTTATGAATTAGTGTTTTCTTTGGATATGTACCCAGGAGTGGAATTGCTGGCTCATATGATATATTTTTAGTTTTTTGGGGAACCTCAATACTGTTTTCCTCAGAGGCTGCACAAATTTATATTCTCACCAACAGTGTACAGAGGTTCCCTTTCCTCCACATCCTTGCCAACATTTGTTATCTGTGGTCTTTTTTTTTCTTTTTTAAATTTATTTTATTTATTTATTATTTTTGGCTGCATTGGTTCTTTGTTACACGCGGGCTCTCTCTAGTTACAGCGAGTGGGGGCTGCTCTTTGTTGTGCGTGGGCTTCTCACTGCAGTGGCTTGTCTTGTTGCAGAGCACGGGCTCTAGGCACACGGGCTTCAGTAGTTGTGGCACACAGGCTTCAGTAGTTGTGGCTCGTGGGCTCTAGAGCGCAGGCTCAGTAGTTGTGGCTCAGTAGTTGTGGTGCTCGGGCTTAGTTGCTCTGCGGCATGTGGGATGTTCCTGGACCAGGGCTCGAACATGTGTCGCCTGCATTGGCAGGCAGATTCTTAACCACTGTACCACCAGGGAAGCCCCATCTGTGGTCTTTTGGATGATAGCCATTTTGACAAGTGTGAGGTGCTATTTCATTGTGTTTTCAGTGTTTTTTTTAAACATTTTTATTGGAGTATAATTGCTTTACAGTGTTGTGTTAGTTTCTGCTGTATAACAAAATGGATCAACTATATGCATACGTATATCCCCATATCCACTCCCTCTTGCATCTCCCTCCCACCCTCCTTATCCCTCCCCTCTAGGTGGTTGTAAAGCACTGAGCTGATCTCCCTGTGCGATGCAGCTGTTTCCCACTAACTGTTTTACGTTTGGTAGTGTATATATGTCAGTGCTATTCTCTCACTTCGTCCCAGCTTACCCTTCCCCCTCCCTGTGTCCTCAAGTCCATTTTCTATGTCTGTGTCTTTATTCCTGTCCTGCCCCTGGGTTCATCAGAACCAATTTTTTCTTTTTAGATTCCATATATATGTGTTAGCATATGATACTTGTTTTTCTCTTTCTGATTTACTTCATTCTGTGTGACAGACTCTAGGTCCATCCACCTCACTACAGAGAACACAGTTTCGTTTCTTTTTATGGCTGAGTAATATTCCATTGTATATATGTACCACATCTTCTTTGTCCATTCATCTGTCAATAGACACTTCCATGTCCTGGCTATTGTAAATAGTGCTGCAATAAACATTGTGGTACATGACTCTTTTTGAATTATGGTTTTCTCAGGGTATATGCCCAGTAGTGGGATTGCTGGATCATATGGTAATTCTATTTTTAGTTTTTAAGGAACCTCCATACTGTTCTCCATAGTGGCTGTATCAATTTACATTCCCACCAACAGTGAAAGAGGGTTCCCTTTTCTCCACACCCTCTCCAGCATTTATTGTTTGTAGATTTTTTGATGATGGCCGTTCTGCCCAGTGTGAGGTGATACCTCATTGTATTTTTGATTTGCATTTCTCTAATGATTAGTGATGTTGAGCATCTTTTCATGTGTTCATTGGCAATCTGCATATCTTCTTTGGAGAAAAGTCTTTTTAGGTCTTCTGTCTATTTTTGGAT